CCCAGTTAGGTTGTAGGTTCAAATACAGGCCCAGGGCACAAAATGGGCCTGGAAAGGAGCACCAAGAGAGGGATCCATAGTTTTGACAGAGCCATGCCCACCTCCTCCCCCAGCCAAGAAGGAGTACATGGTCTTAAACAGAACGCAATTCCCAGCCTGCCCTAAGAAGGTCCTTCAAAGGTTCATTAGGCAAGAACTAAGGGCAATGAAAACACCCCTGCCCATCCATGACCACCACTAACCTCTCACAGGCCTGCAGAGGGACAGATCCCTCCAAATGTGAGAGGACCTGAGGTGTGGTACCCTTACCTTTGGGCATGAAGCCCTTGAGTACTGTATGCTAGATGGGCTAAGCTGAGTTTCCAGTAGCCATTCTGATGGTTCTTGGGGATAAGCTCCCCTACAACACCTCTTCTCTAGTCCTAGAGGGACAGTAGCTGCCCTGGGCCAGGCCACCACAAACAACCAGGCTGGACAAAGCACTGCTGCCTGAGGCCTCCTGGGGCCCTCCCTACCCACCTGCCCCATGGGCAACAATGAGTGCTCCCTCCCAGAATCCTGCCTGGAGGCTTTGGCTCTAGAACAAACACCACTGGCTGAGCCTGAGTCCTGCCTGCCTAGCCAGGCTGCCCCACCCCTGACAGACCAGATCTTATCAAGGCTGCAAATCAGCCCCACCTGGACACCAGCTCATAGGCATCTGTCTGTTTTCACCTCACAGCAGAGATTTGATTGGAGGTGAGTTGTCTCCTGCATAGAGGACTTTCCCCATTATCTACCCAAGTGGCCCTCTGTGGTTGCCACCAGGGGCCAGCAGGGTGCGCTTCCACAGACTCCCATGCCCCAGAAGGTACGTCCAGGGAGAGCCCCAAAGACCAAATACTAAACTGGACAGAGGACCATCAGGGGTCAGGACATCTGAACACTCATGGTCCCCAGCAACACGGTCCAATGCCAGACAAATGCTGTCTGTCCCTCCCAGGTACTCTGCCACCTCTCAATATATAAATACCTTCTTGGGAAAGCTCACTACACTTGCTTTTTCCTGCCTCTAACACAATTCCCTCCCTTCCCAAGTATATTCCACTGCCTCGTCCTGATCTCAGCTGAAAGTCTGCCTCCTCCCAAAGGCCCTCCTGACACCCCAGCCTTGCTAATTAGCTGTCTTGCAACATCCAGTCTGTCACACATCACTATGAGATTTTCTTTCCTGTTCCTTCATCTGTCAGTTGGCCATGTAGAGACACCCACAATGACAGCTCCCAAGCCCCTTCTATGTAGCTATAGCTCCATCCCAGTGACCAGGACACTGGGAGAAGACAGAGTAGGAGCCCAGTCTAAGGAGGGACACTAATTTTATCTAGGATTGTCTCCATCCTTTCCCCTCACCACCAGTATCTAGCTCTGCTTCCTGAGTGTGTGAGTAGCAGCAGGCTCCTACTTCCCTGCCAACTGGAGGGACCAGCAAAGTCCAAAAGACCAGGAGAAACAGCCCAGTTCACGATCCACAGTTTCGTTCAAAGCTGCCTCAGGGGACTTATGCTGCTGCTGACACTGTGTCTGAGCCTGGCTAGGGGCCCCACCTTGGCTGGGGTTGTTGGATGAGATCACACCCAGCCTGTTGCCCTGCCCAGGAGTACCCAGCACCCAGGCACAGAGACAAACAGAGCAAGAGGGACACAGCTCCCGGGGACTCACCTGGGATGCCTACATAGCAGTCACATTTCTCTGAAAAGGGCCAGCAAAGACTGTGCAAGAAGCACAGCCCCTGTGGCCTGCTGGAATGTGCTGGAGCTGACACCCGGCCCCTGGCTGCCCTGTCTTATCAAAGCCCTCCACCCAACCCTTCATCCAAGTGCCTGGCAACAGTTATGCTCCCACGGCTCCATGCAAGCAAGCTGCACAGAACCCCTGTCTGAGAAAGGCTCCGCTCCCATCCGTCCTTTTGCAGTGACAGAAATCAGTTAGCTGTTTCGGAGGGAAGAAAGGTGTACAAGACTCCCAGGGCCGGAGGAGAAAGGTTTTAGGGCAGAAGGCTGCTGGCCCGGAAGACTGCAGGCCGTGTAGGCAGTAGGGAGAAAGTGTCTCTTGGAATTTGGGGAGCAGGAAGGCGAGGAAAGCTGCTTCCGGGGAGAGGCTCAGGGAGCCGGGGATCTGGGTTTCTCTGATGGGATACGTGGAGGGTGCAGGTGAGGTACGGTCTTCCCTGGGCTTCCCAGAGATGGGAGCTGGGTGGGGACGGCTCAGTAAGTTTCAGGATCCCTCTGGTTTCGAGGGGCGCGTCTGAGTCCTCCTCCCTTAAAATAGGTCGCTCCCATGGCTGGGAGAGCCCGCAGGTTCCGGAGGTGACCGAGGGCGCCCCAGGATGAGAGTCGCAGGAGTCTCACGGCTCGGTGAGGCCTAGGGACCCCTTCCCCGCTTCGCACTCCTCTATTTACCTGGGCGCCGAGGCCCGGGCCGGACACGGGACACGGGGCGGGCTCATGCCCGCGTCTCGGCGCGGCCCGGCAGGGAAGGTGGGGTGGCGGCGCGCGGAATCGGCTGTCGACTGGAGTGAGGCGCAGCCGCCAGCTCGGGATCCAGCGGAGACCTCGGAGGTAGCTGCTTCTGCTGTTCCACGACGCCACGCCCCTTGAGGCCCCGCCCCGAGCCGCCCTGGCGCCACGCCACGCCCCATCGACACGCCCCCCGCCCATCCCTGGCGTCTGTGCCACGCCCCGACGGGAGACACGCCCTGTCGCGGAGTCCCGCCAACGCCGTATTACTCCAAACTGCAGGACAGAAGTTTCCCCGCCGGCTGCCTAGTTCTCTACTCACTGCTAGTACCCACCTCAGTGGCACCAGCTCCTCCCTGTGCTCCAAAACCCAAACCCACGTTGCCTCGCGTCTGCTGAAGGCTGAACCCCGCATCAACTCCCAGTCTTTGAACCTCACCTCCCAACTTCAAGAGTCAATACTCTTCTACCTTCTTGTCTAGTGACTCCCTTTGCTACCGCCCAGGCTTGCCCAGGACCTGCTCACTCACCTGCTTTCCCCTCTTTATTTTTTGCTTACATCACACTTTATTTTTTACTTTATTTAATTAAATTTTTTGAGACTAGGTTGTGTGTGTGTGTGTGTGTGTGTGTGTTTCCAGATAACTAATTCTTCATCTTGTATTTTGAGACAGAGAGTTCTACAATTTAAGTGACATTGGTTGGCCATAGGCTTTAGGATCTGTCTGTCTCAGCCCCACATACTGGGATTACAAAGCATACACCCATCTGTACCTGGCTTTGACACGGATGCTGGGAACTCACACTGACCCGTCTCCCCAGCCCAGGGTCTTTGTAGCCCAGGCTGTTCTTGAACTTACTGTGATCCTTCTGCCTCTGAATGCTGGGTGGATTCAAAAGCATGGTCTTGAAACCAGAACTTTGGGTGTTATCATAAGTCCCATGCCCCACTCCAGACATGTGAAATCAGAATTTATGGCAGAAATCTGTTCAACATTTCTCCAGGTGTTTCTGTCAAATACTGACATGGGAAGACCCCTACTTTAGGCCATAAATACAAAGCAAAGCAAGAGGCTGTAACTGAGGGCCTGAAATCCTGGGAAATGACAATGCACAAATCTAACCTGTGAAATATTAGCCTGGTGCTCCAAGGAGCTAGCTCCCAGGACCCACACACAGTCTAACCCCCGCCTTTGAAGCACCAGAGACTCAGCCCTGTCCAGTGAGGCAAAGGGTTTATTTATTTTTTTTGTCCCCTTAAAATGTTCCAGGATTGTCACTGACGTGTGTGTTACCTGGAAGCTATTGGGGCTACAGGACAAGGAGGTGGCTTTTGTCTTCCTCACTGCTAAGCTGAACCTCCTGACCTTTTCATGACCTCGTGACCTTCCCATGCATCTTCCAAACTTGACCCCCTGCTTTACTTCAAACAGCAGCTCATAAAGTCCTCAGAGCCTGAGTCATCACCGGGAACTGCTTTCATCCCCAGACCCTGTTGGAAAAGTTGAATGGCCACAAAGAGAAAATGAGTTTCTTTAAAAAAGAGGCTTCTTGGGAGGAGGGCCTCCCCTATCAGTGGACTTAGAGAGGGGCAGGGAGGAGATGAGGGAGGAAGGGTGGGATTGGGAGGAAATGAGGGAGGGGGCTACAGCTGGGTGACAAAGTAAATAAACTATAACTAATATAAAAAAATAAAAATTTAATTAAAAAAAAAAGAAAGAAAGAGGCTTCTTAGCCTGGCCTGGTGGCACAAGGCTAGAATCTCAACTGAGGCAGGAGGCTGGTGAGTTCAAGGCCAGTCTTACTTAGATCCGGCTGGGGGCGGGGGGGGGGGGGTTGAGGGTATAGCTCATTAGTCCATCCCCTGAGCTTCAAAATTAATCATCATAAGAATATAATGAAATTTAAGAAGCAACTTCTCTAAGTGGGATCCCTAAAATTCATTCTCTCACTCTTAAATTTTTTATTGAATATCTATCCTCTACCCAACTGTGCTACCTAATTTCTTTCTTTCTTTCTTTCTTTCTTTCTTTCTTTCTTTCTTTCTTTCTTTCTTTCTTTCTTTTTCAATCAGGATTTCTCTAGCTGTCCTGGAACTGATTGTGTAGACCAGGCTGGCTTTGAACTCACAGACATCTGCCTTCTTTTATCTCCCAAGTGCCACCACCCAGATTTTAATCTAATTTTTGAATTCATACTCATATGGCTGTTTGTAGGCCCACATGCGGATGGATGGTTTAATACGGAGACAGTCTGAGCCCCTGTACCCTCTACCTTTCAAAGCCACAGTACAGGATATTGGCAACCATAGGGAGAATTCCTATCTCTGCAAAGGTGTCCCCCTACCTGCTTCCCTTCTCTAGTCATACTGACTTCCCTCCCCTCCTGTGTAACCCCTGGCAGACACCTCCATGTTTCCCATTTCTGCACTTGGTAGAAAGCTTCGTGGTTAGAATCATAAAAAGTATAGTCCTTGGCAATTTTTCACTCAGTAACTTTTTTTTTTTTTTTCCCACGGAGGCTTTTTATTTATGCTTTACATCTCTAGAAAAAAAAATCCCAGGATTTTGCCTCCTGTGTGTTTTTGTCTTGCTTCTTCATGGTCCATGATGCCAGCTGAGATTGTCAGTACAATGAAGCCAAACTGACGGGATGGGAGCAGATTGTTCTGCCATTTTTCTAGGTCTTTAAGTTGCACATCAAATCTAGGGCTGATCACTCCACACTTGTTCAACCTGCCTGTGAGGTTCACAACAATTTTCCCAGCTCTGTGATCATCAATGATCTCAAATTCACCAATGTAACCGTGCTTCATCATCACAGTTAGGAACCGAACGATGACTTTGGAGCATGGCCTGATGAGGACCTGGCGTTTGCCTCTCTTCTCAGCATTGTTGATACTCTTGAGAGCATCTGCCAGGAGATTCATGCGCACCATGGTGACGGCAAGGAAAGATGGCGGAAAGAGCCAGTAACTTTTTTTAACGGTGACTTAAACCCAGGGCCTCTCACACGGCAGGCAAGTGTTCTACCGCTGAGCAATGTCCCAGCCCTATTTTACTTTTCATTTCAAGATAGGCTCTCAGTAAGTTACCAAGACTGGCCTTGAACTTACTATGTACAGCCCAGATTAACCTTAAATTTGTGGTTTTCCCCTCATCCTTCAGAGTAGCTGGATTTATCAGTTAGGGGCCCAAAAATCCCACCCTGCTCAGTTAGTAATGCTTGGCAGTTCATCCAAATCATAGCATGAATCAATAGTTTGTTCCTTTGGTGGTTGTATAGTTGCTAGCGTTCTGCTGTGGGGCATACCACCATCTGTTTATTCATGCACCCATTCGAGGATATCTGGGTTGCTTCTAGGTCTTCTCAATCTTGTGTATAGGTTTCTGAGTAAACTCATGTCATCATTCTCTCTAGGGTAAATGCTACAGATATAATGCTGAGCTGTGTAGTTGCAGGTTGTCACTATGTCTTTATTTATTTATTTGCTTGTTTGTTTGTTTATGGCTTTTCAAGATGGTTTCTCTGTGTACCCCTGGCTGTCCTGGAACTTACTTTTCTAGACCAGGCTGGTCTCAGACTCAGAGATCTGCCTGCCTCTGCCTCCCAAGAGTCTGCCATGGCCCATGTCTCTACTCTTTCGTTGTTGTTTTGTTTTCCAAGACAGGGTTTCTTTGTGTAGCCTTGACTGTCCTGGAACTCGCTCTGTGGACCAGGCTGGCCTTGATCTCACAGGGATCCACCTGCCTCTACCTCCCACGTGCTGGGATTAAAGGCCTGTGTCACCGCTGCCTGGCCCATGTCGCCACTTTCTAGTTGCCAATATAATGGCTATATTCTTTAATTTTCCCCACAGCAATGAAGGGATGATTTTCCCATGCTCTCTAGCATTTGATGTCATCACTACTTTTCAGTTTGGGGAACTTTTTGACAAATGAAAAGTTATATCTCATTGTGGTTTTAATTTGTAGCTCCCTAAAGGCTGTGGTACTGAATGCATTTTCATGTGATAATTGCTGTTTGTATTCTTTCTTTGGTGAAATATTTCTAGCTGTTTTTTTCCAAGTTCTAGTTTGATTATTTACTTTTTGTTGTTGATTTTTTGAGAGTTCTTAGCATATTTTAAGTATTGGACCTCTTTTGAATATGTGGTTTGCAACTATTTTCTTGGTGTCTGCAGTTTCTCTTAATGTATACTTAATGTATTCTCTTCCTTACTTTCCTGGGTTTTTTTTTTTAAGGATTTGTTATTTTTTTATGTGTGTATGTGTCTGTGTAAATGAATGGCACATGTGTGTGGGAGCCTACAGAGGCCAGAAGAGGGGTTGGATCCCTTGAAGTTGGAGTTGCAGGTGGTTGTGAGTCACGTGTTGAGGGTGGAAACCAAATTCAGGTCCTCCAGAGGAGCAACCCTCTTAACCACTGGGGGTACCTCAGCCTCCTCCTTCTTTTCATTCCTTCCTTCCTTGCTTCCTTCCTTCTTCCCTCCTTCCCTCCTTCCAAAGGAACCAAACCCAGGGAGCGCTCTACCACTGAGCCACCTCCCCAGCTCACCGGACACTCTTATAAAACAAAACCTTTTACAAGGGGCACATTAATGATTTTTCCTTTAGAAGCCAGTCGATAAACTGCATTTTCTTCTATGTTTTATTTCACAGATTTCATAATTTTAGGTTTTACATTTAGATCTCTGATCCTAAGGACAGCATGGCAGCACCTGCCCATGATTTCAGCATGTATGTGGCTAAAGGAGATGGATTACTATGACTTACACGCCAGCCTAGACTAGACAGGAAGTCCCAGGCCAGCTAGTACTACATAGACTCTCAAAAAACAAAACAAAAAAGTAAATAAATAACTGATTGATCCTTTGGTGGAGGTTTAGGTTGGGTGAGGGAAAGCTGTGGGTTTGGTTTAGGTTTTTTGAGACAAAGTTCTGTGTACTCTCAAACTTATTATAAAGTTGAGGTTGGCCTTGAACACTTGATCCCTCTAACCACCACCCCTACCAGGTGCTAGGATTATAGTCACTCACCACTATACTAGCTAGTGTTGAGTGTCAGCTTGACACAAGCTAGAGTCATCAGAGAGGAAGGAGCCTCAGCTGAGGAAATGCTTGAGATCCAGCATTTTTTCAATTGGTGGTCAATGAAGGATGCTCCAGCCTATGGTGGGTGGTGCCATCCCTTGGGGGGGTGGTCCTGGGCTGAGCAAGAAAGCAGGCTGAGCAAGCCACAAGCAGCACCCCTCCTTAGCCTCTGTATCAGCTCCTGCCCCAGGATCCTGCACTGCTTGAGTTCCTGTCTTGACTTCCTTCAGTGATGAGCAGCAATATGGAAGTGTAAGCTGAAAAAAGCCTTTCCTCCCCAGCTTTCGTTTTGGGTCATGGTGTTTTCACCACAGCAATAGAAACCCTAACTAAGACAGACACCATGCCTGGCTGTGTGTTTTGCTTGTGAATATCCGCTTGTTGGGAAGGTTCTCTTTCTTGCACTTAATTGTTTTTATAACTTTCTCAACAAAACAAAAACCACTTAGGACTATTTCCGAATTTCCTGTTCTGATACATTAAAATATGTCTCCATTTGCCTGCTAAAAGCACACTGTTTTGGTGGCTCAGCTGGCAAAGTGTCTGTTGTGCAGACCTGAGGACCTGAGTTCATATCCCCAGCTTATGTAACTGGAGACAGATGACTCCGCAGAGTTCACTGGCCACTGACTCTGGCCTCTCAGTGAACCCTGGGTTCAGCAAGAAAGAGATCCCATCTTAAAAGAGAAGATGGGATAAGTGAGCTCCCACACTGTGGAGTACCTGCTCACACGCAGAAGCACACACACAAAACTGACTCCTCCAGCTCCCTGCCTCCTCTGGAAATCAGGTAGGAATTCTCTCCCCTTCACTCATCTCTGCAGCTGTGGCAACTGGCCTATGTCCTCTGCCTCTTCATAGAAATTTTAGAATCCTCTCGTGGACCTGGAAAGACAATCTTTTTTGAGATTCCTTTTTGTGTTAAGCCTGTCTATGGTCTGAAGACAGCTAACTCTACGATGTGTTCACTCTTCCAACTCAAGACACAATAAGTTTTTCTTGTTTTTTTTTTTTTGTTGTTGTTGTTTTGTTTTGTTGTTGTTTTTATGCCTTCTTTGATTTTCCCATCAAATGAGAGATAAGGGGGTTTCATTTAGCCAAGCCTAGTCTCAAACCCGCTACATAGCCAAGGCTGGCCTTGAACTCCTGATCCTTCTACCTCCACTTTCCAAATGCTGTGACTATAGGCATGTGCAACTATACTCAGTTTTCTAATTTTCTTTTGATAGTATGTATTTTTTTTCACTCGATTCTTTTACAGTACTTATTTTGTGTATATGCATGCCACAGCATGTGTGTGTGTGTGTGTGTGTGTGTGTGTGTGTGTGTGTGTCTGTCTGTCTATGTCTATGCATGTCTGTGTATCTGTATGCAGGTCAGAGAACAACTTTTAGGAGCTTGTTCTCTCCTTCCACCCTCCAGAGCTCATCCTCAAGCTTGACAGCAAACATCTCTACCTGCTGAGCCCCTTGTTAACTCCATCTTTCAATTTGACACTACCTACATGGTTATATTTGAGGGGATGGGGAGGTGCCTCAGTGGTTAAGAGCACTTGGGACTGGAGTTCAGTTCCTAGCATCCACATGGAGTCTTACAGCTATCACTCCAGTTCCAGGAGACCCAACAACCTCTTCTGGCTTCTGAAGGGCACTTCATACACATGCTGTACATACACATGTGTAGGTTAAACATCCATATACATGAAACAAAAATAAATTAAACATTCATACACATAAAACAAAAATACATTAGCCTTTAAAAACAACCATATTGTAAATGAGTCTTTTGGTGATACATATAGTTTCATCATATTTTTAATCTGAATATGGAATATGCCAGTATCTTTTTTTTTTTTTTCTGAGACAGGGTTTCTCTGTGTGTCGTTGGCTGTCCCAGAACTAGCTCTGTAGACCAGGCTGACCTTGAACTCTCAGAGATTTGCCTGCCTCTGCCTCCTAAGTATTGGGTTAAAGGCATATGCCACCACCCGGACTGTCTCTATCTTTTAATTGGCACATTTAAAAAATTTGTAATTAATGCAATTATTGTATATAATTAATGTAATTATTGATATGTGAGGGCCTTAGTAAATTGTTTTTAATAAACTGTTGTATTTTTTGTTGTTTTTTTTTTTGTCTATGATTTTCATTTCTGTATTTCCTTTTATTGCCTTCCTGTGGGTTTCTGAAACTTTTTTCTATTTGATTTACCTATTATTTCCTTCTTGTTTTTAATGCTGAGAACCTAACCCAGAGCCTTGTGGAGTCTAGGAAGGTACTCTGTGTTAGAGTTATAGCCCTAGTCTTAATTTTATGTGTGTGGTGTGTATCTGTGTGTATGTGTATTCATGTGTGTTTGTGCATGCTATGGAAGCCTGAGGTCTATGTTTCATGTCTTCCTTAGTCACTCTCTACCTTTTGTGTTAAGACAGGACTCCCCTTCCCACCTGGCTGTCTTCAAGATTTTCTTCCTTGGCTTTCAGTCATTTAATTCTGGTGAGTGTTAGATTTTGCACTGTCCTATGTGGCCTCTTGAATCTGGAGGTCTATAATTCCAAGGTTTGCCATCAATTGTCCTGTTTTTGCATTTTTCGAGTTCTTATTGTTTTCCTCTTTCAAGGGACTCTGATGACACAGATGATGGATCTTTGCTCTCCTAAAGATCTCTGAAACTGTGTTCACTTTTATTTTATTTTACTTTATTTTTTAAATTTTATTTATTTTATGTATATGAGTGTTTTGTTTTCATGAATACCAGAAGAGGGAATCAGATTCCATTAAAGATGGTTGTGAGCCACCATGTGGTTGCTGGGAATTGAACTCAGGACCTCTGGGAGAGTTGCCAGTGCTCTTAACCT